CCGGTTTCGGATTTGCCTGTCACTGTGGCCAGCTACAGGACGCCTGCGCCTACAGAGGGACCATGGCTGGCTTACGCTGCACCACCCACAGCCCCATCCACACACCCCATTTCCAGTGTACACCAGAAGGAATAAGACCGGGATGCATGCAGATTGGAGCCACATTTCATAAACGGAGCCGGCCCACACCACATCACAGGCAAACACAAGCACGCTGTATTTGGGAATCACGCGCACACAAGGCGTTAGCTGGACCGTAGTCCGGTCCACACTGAGTGCATGGAACCAATATTTGATCCTAACACGGCCACAAAGACCGTGCATCCCGTCCTCTCCAGCAACGATCAAATGTCTCCTAGAGCGAGTATGGACGAGGTAGTGGGTAATAGAGAGGTGAGCACCTTGTCAACATGCACATCAAGCGCAGTCACACCGGGGATATCAAGCAACACCAAATCACATGAGAGAAAGATAACAAAGAAAATAAATCGAGTAATGCATAAGGAAACGGTGACATAAATCTTAAACTAGTGAGCATATGTTATGTGTTGTTTACAAACGAATCTGAGATAAGTTAACGACGTCAAGAAGTACATTTTACGGAAATGACACAAACAAGAGAATGTTATCGAAATTAACTACAATTGGCTTAAGCGACATGCGCAAGTTTATATAAGAGAGTGCAGGTAGATATTTATAGGAGAAAGAAAAGAATCAGGACAAAATTGAAGACCGACCATCTGAAATAAATAAACTCAGCATGCAAGCACACGGTTAGTAAACCGAATGCAGCTTGCCCACAAAAGCTGCGCCAATTCCGCCTACTTTCTCTGCAGGAACCGTCGTCGCTTCGGCACTGGTCTCGAGTGGCGTCGCTCATGGCTCACTAAACCTACCTGAGTCAGGCACTCGCGACCCCATGTGTTACAGTACCATGCGCTCGAAATCGATGGAGTACAACCCATCGGTGCTTGCCGCTTCCGCACTTGCCGCATCTTCTCTGCATGTATAAGATTTTTCTCCTGCCATTCGGCAAATCCCTTCGTGATTAGATCGCGCCATGCACGCCGATCAACGGCCTTCGATTCCCTTGACTTGAAATCAAGATTGGAACGTGAAAGGCTCAATTTGATCATGTCCTGGCAACATAACATCCGTTTTTCTACATGCCGCTCGCCAATACTCAGCTGACCATATAATATCTGTATCGGTATCCGTGTCGAATCCATTTGCCAAACTTGACCGAGCCACCTCGGGGGGCTGAGCAAATTATGCAGTCCACTGCATAAATCCCACATTGTAGCAACACTTCCGTGTCTGCAACACTGTCGCCCCAACCGATGCGCAAATTGCGCAGCAAACACTGCTGATGGAACCGCTCGAGATATCGCACATCCCGCCGGTACATCGTCCACGTTTCGCTGCCGTATAGAAGAACGGGCAGCACCATGGATTTGTGCACCATCCGTTTCGAGCCAAGGGTAAGCTGATGGTTGTTCCACACTCGGTACTCTAGCTTCCCGAATGCAGCCGCTGCCTTCGACACGCGGATACGCAGCTCACTGTGTAGCTGCTGATCAGTCGACATCACAATCCCAAGGTAGCTGAAGCGGGAGCTAGTATCCAATACTTCCGCACCAATGCTGCTTCGCGGCAATATTGAAGATTGCACCTCCGGTGAAGTCTGAAAGATACTGACATTTTTGCTTGTGTTGAAGGTGAACCGGGATTTGGCCGCTATCGAAGCCAGAACACTATTCATGTGCTGCAACTCATTCGCGCTGTGTGAAAACAACTCACAGTCGTCAGCAAACAGCAACATCCGGATAGTTGTCTCACAGACTAAATTTCTCGCATCAGTGTGACGGATGTTCAACAACCCACCATCAATACAGTGCTCCATACGAACACCGTAAGAACAAGCGACATCAAAAGCACAAGACATGACTGCATGAAGATTAATATTAAACATGGCAGGAGCTAAGACACAGCCTTGCTTCTCACCAGAAATGACTGCAAATTCATCCGAAGTCTCTCCACTCAGCTGCACCCTAGCTCGCATGCCACCGTGCAGATATTCAGTTAAACGTACAAATTTACGCGTGCAATCAAACTTACCCAACACCAGATACAACGCTTGCGGTTCATAGTATCAAATACCTTGGTGAAATCAATGGCAAACGTGTAGAACGACTGGTGTCTTTCTCTACACTTCTCCTGAAAGTGACGAACCGCAAACGCCATATCTATAGTGCTGCTACCCGAACGGAATCCACACTGCTTCTCCGCTACGTTAGGTTCCACAACCTGACTGACGAGGCGGTTGAGCAGGATTCGGGCAATCAATTTGCCAACACAACGCAGCAAGTTTATTGCACTATAATTCGTGCAACATTGCTAACGCCATTTGCCCGTGTACAGTGATAGCACAGGTGCATCCTTCAGCTCAGCAGGCACCCCCACATCAATCTATAGCATTGCACCAAGTAATGCAGCGCAATCACTAACGCGGGTCCGCCGTGTTTCAATACTTCAGGCGGGATATTTTTAGAATCGGCACAAGTGCCGTTTTGCATCTGAGCAAGTGCACTCTGCGTCTCAACCAGTGTCGTCGTGTCCGCCAGGCTGGTCTTCACATCGTGCTGCTTCACGCAGTTCAACGTAGGCCAGTGGATCTCTGAACGATTGTTCAAGAGACAGTCAAGTTGTTTCCGCCAGATCTGCATTATGTCTGCAGTCTGTGTGCAGGTAACGCCTAAACTACCATCGATCAGCGTTCTCAAATGATCCGCTCTCGGTCCGTACACTACCTTCAAGGAGGCAAAGAATTCCTTGTGTTGGCGGCTTTCGGCGTAGCATTCCACATGCTTCGCCTTCTCCGTTCGCCATGCATTTTTAATGCGACGGATCTCTCGGGTAAGTCGCCCTCGAAGTTTGCGAAACTGACTCTCCTTCCCCAACGCACTGGGGTCTGCGACATGTGCAGCAAATGCTGCATTCTTCCTCGACACCAACGTGCCAATCGCCGTGTTGTTCTCATCAAACCACTTAGGCCGCTTACAGTTTGCGAGCCCGATAGTCTCCTCGACACCAGCTGTCACCTGATCTGGAATGTGGTGCTACAGTTCGCCCACTGTGACTATGCAGTCCACATCACTCAGGCGTGCAGCCATCGCCTACTCCAGCTCAGTACGTTTCGCCACAGTACCGAGGGAGCGAATGTTAAATTTCCGGCAATTCACGGCCGGAGTGCAATACATTGATTTACGAAAATATATGTACAGTTTGGTCCCCACCAATTTGTGGTCAATGCCACACTTCGTTTCACGCAGTACACGTGTCATGCGCACTGCACGCATACCACACTGACATACGATGACATATTAGAGCAGGTGAGCGTGACCACTCTGTTGGTCCTTCCAAGTTGCTATATCACTCGCACGCAGTGCAAACCGAGGGTTGGCGATCGTCAGGCTGTGAGTGGCACACAGTGAGAGCAGCCTGTCACCATTCGTATTCGCCGAACCAATGCCATGCGGACCGATGACATCTGTCCACACCGATGCATCACGTCCAACATACATGCATATACATTCTTGTAACCCATAGGGTTATGTAACGATTGTTGACTCCTTGGGCTGTTCTGTTAAACTCCGATGGCTGTTGAGGAAGACAAATAAAATAGTGATCAGAAAGTCATCCATCGACCATTATGTGCACGTTTCCCTCCAAGCTACGGCCATCGCTAAGTGAAAAGTGTAAGCGAGGAAGAAACCGGTCGTGTCCTACAACCTTATTGTCGAGCGGCACGACAATACTTCTCGCATCGGGTACAATCACAGTTATCCAAAAGGGTAAAGCTTACTTCATTGCAAACCGTGATCCGAATTGACAGTGTGCCCTGTAATCCAAATTCAAACACATTGTAAAAAGTAAAACCTTATGGTTCGATTGTAGATGTGATAACGCTGCGTAAAGGAAGCGGTCATCTACCTAGTATTTTCAAGCAGCTATTTAATCGTGGTTAAATAAATGTTAACAGTAAAATTTGAGCAAGCCACTGAGGATCTGAGAGAGGCATACCTGTAGTTCATAAATTTTACTCAAGTAAATATTTAGTGTCTGTGTTAGTGCCAACAAGCTAAATACTCATGTGGCACAAACAAGTACAGCGATTAAGTTCCGTTGGAAAGGTTTGCCTTATTTTTAGTCACAAGAACCAGCTTTTTAAAGAACTTGTAGGAATTATCTGATTGTTGCTCTACGAAAAGTATCATTTAAGAATTTCTAAACGAAATTCTAATGACCAGCAGGCTTGTCATTAACGTGTAAACACTCAACGGAACATGAGTTGGGACAAGCTCATGTCCGAAATATTAATTTACTATACATTTAACCAACATTCAACACTCACTGAAAGCCAAGCAATTCAATGGTGGAGTTTTAAGTGAATTTGTTGCACATCAAGCTATTAAGGATCAGTAGGGCACAAGCCACTCCTCATGCTGCAATGAAACTAAATATGAAAGTCCGACATAGACTAGAAGGATGAGTTATTAAACTTAAGCTGACCCCAAACTTTTCCTCGATATTCGAACAGCGATGGACGTACACGGTTGCTGTATCACGGCGGTAATTAGCCTAGGCGCTTGTTGACCAATCACCGCATGAAATGGATGCAAAAAACAGTATTAAAATGCGCGGCAGAAATGAAAGCTATTAAAATTTTTAGAAAGAAGGCACGCAAGGTTTGACGAATCACTGCGTTTCACACAAATGGTCCTGTTTACCCATTCAGGAGAACCATGGATCGTACCATTTGACATATTTCGACTGTTCGTTTATTACATTGGCATATTTATAAACATTCTCTTCGGTATGACCGTGGTAAAGTGTCCATTCAAGAACATAATACCCAAGTCCCTACTGATAACACAAAGTGTTTTGGATATCGCTATTCTCATCACATGTGTACTTTATATACATTTGGCTTATACCCTTGATCCTGCCTGGCCTATTGAAAATGACGCTATTTGTCACATATGGGTAAGCAATTGGATCTTATACTTTTTAATGGCATTGTCCGTGTTTAACGTGCTTGCACTGACATTGGATCGCTTCTGGGCTGTGGTCTATTCTATCAGCTATACAGCACGTGTGACGTTGAAAGCCACGCTCATATACACAGTCATGTTTATCATCGCGTTTGGTCTCAGTGTTCCCATCTTTTTGGAGTTCGAGTTAGTATACGGTCAATGTGTTCCAGTGCCTTCAACCATTCGAATTGTTGAGGCCTCCTTATGGTTATGTTTTATTTACATTCTACCCATCTTGGGGAATGCCACAATGTTCTGTTGGATAATGCGTCAGTTGCACAAAAATGGTGGCGGCAGTATATTTGACCCGCGAAACACAACACAATACCGCTACACAGCATGTACTCTGGCAACAGTCGTCACCCATACCCTTGTACTTGCTCCACATATTGTCTACTTCATGTTAGCTATCACGAAAACTGTAGTATATAAACCTGGATCCCCTGCGCAGATCGTTGTTGCGTTCTGCATCACTCTGATCAGCTGGGTTACACCTGTCGTTTATTTTGTATTTTTGCAACAATTACGTGACACAATGGTAAAGCTGATAATGGGACTCCGACGGAAATTCCGAAGTGATTCAGTGGTAACTACGGCAAATGAGCCCGTATGGTAAAAGTATCTGAGTAATTGTTTCCATAAATACATGTTACACGTTGTCAGAATATGCACCAATGCTGTAAAATGTTTTAACTTTAATCTTTTCCCTTAAATTTAAATAATTATCACAATAAACTGCTTTATGATCAGCAAATTCCTTTTCACGAAACAACAGTTTATTGACGAGAAGGTTGGTTATGTTATACATGCACGTGTTAGAACACCGCTAATGTCATCAACACACGAGTTTGCATGCACATGGTATAATTCACGTAGAGCGATGCAGAACATGTTAACTGGTATGATATTTAATTGCTGATTTTACGTAAAGTATGCATACTTGTCTGCTAATAATTTGCAGTTCCAAGTTATGTGATCAAAGTTTGTTTAAATAGGTGTATTTGAAAGAAAGCGATGTTAATCGAGACGGGTTGTGCTGTCAGTTACTAGTTCGATTTCGTGCTTTTCAAGTATGAGCTAAATATGGCAAGCATAATAATTGTTAAATTATTGCGGTTCTGGCCGTCATTGTATGTTGATTTTCGCTATCGGTCGATATTTGCTAGAGTTTTCGTAACTTGGCCCATAAGTACACGGTTCATTCCCATTCGAGTGTTGTGCATCGGATGCAACAAATTCTCGACTGGTAAATGCGAAGCTTTTGCAGAGACTCACTCCGTAAAATCGCGCTCTAGCCCTACGTTGCGGGACTTGGGCATAAACCTACCTTCGAAGAACGGTTGACAATCGCAGTACCGTGAAGTTTAAGTCATGGTCTTGTATGACGTCGAGGACACTGCATGTAATCGACTCTTTAGCTGTTTAGATGCTGTAAGAAATTATTTTCGAGATTTTAACAGTAGTGATTACTGAAAAACTCATAAACATGAAAACCCGAAAACCTGAAGGTTTTCCTCTACAAATAAAGTGCATATCACCGTTAATATGTCAAGCTGCTCCAAGCATGTAGATAGGTAATTAAACAATTTGTGTTGGAAAAAACTTTTCTGAAGTTCTTCGTCGAAAAGAATTTTGACATTTTCAAACATGTAATAGTCTAGTAAACATGCTCCAGTTGGAATGATGGAAAAAAGCTGCTGGTATAGGAGTGGAGTCGCATCGACTCTACGTTTGACCAACTATCCTTGTCTGTGAATAACAAGTTTAAATTAGTTGCAAATATAACACCTATGGGCACCAGTACGACAGTAAGATGAAAGTTGAGTTATCAAATGGAACAGTTGAACGGGGAAATGTTTTACATACACCTTTAGGTCGAATAGGGGAAGTTATGTCAGTGTCTTTGTCCAGGAATCTCTGGCCTGCACTGCGATGCTGAATTAAACCAATGACAACAATTGCTGATAGGTTAAATCTCCATTTCAAGCCATGTGGTCTTTGAAGTATTAATTAGCAACTTCGTTAAGTTTACCACACGTGTCCTGTGAGTAAACCACTGGCACATTTGCTCAGTTACTTGCCACCTGGGATCAACACGTTGTGTGTATATCGGATAAGGCTTGTGTTCTTTGGGCCTTATTACCAGACCATTTAGCGCACTACCATGGTTCGTTTGATGACTAGAACTTTCTTGCTAATCTCAATTTGTTATTATGATTCTTAGCAAATATAATGGACAACAAAGAAACTTTTATCTTCAACGATACAAGGCCCACCTACCTCGGCATGGTTGGATTACACAATTAGATAAGCAGAGTTAAAGTCTGAGTAGACAACGATTTTTGATGGGGCAGTAATAGCATAATGAATGGTTAACTGAAGTGAAATGCTGCTAGTTGGTCTTCAATCGCTCTCTCACATCTCACTATGTACTGGGTCCTAAAATAGATGGGCAATGCTCTTATGCTTGCCTTAATTTCATAGATCAGTCAAATGGCTTGATCAACTTTTGTTCAGTCAAAAATGTTTTATGCTTTAGCGAAATTCGCGTCCAATACGTGCAAGCATGTATTCCGACTCATATATTTCTCTACATTTTGACGTGTCTGTTAAATCAGAATTGGTAAATCTGCTGGTGTTAAACTTGCATTCCACTACTGAGTTATGTATAACTGATGTATTTTTGGACGGCTGATTTTTCAATGATAGCTGCGTTTGGGAAAGTGCATATTTCTGTGCACGATGTTAAATGTTATAGCCAGGTTTTTGTCTCATACGTTTAGACAGAGCTCGTTAGACTCATCATCTTGAACAGAATCTCCAGTGTTTGGAATAGAATCTAAAATGCGTTTGCTGAATGCTGTTTGTTCTTGCATAAGTGCAATGTGGTCGCGCTTCTTTGAGCTACTATTGCACAATATTACTTATGAGTAGGGGGATGTTAGTTGTCGTGGGTTCGAACCCCAGCAAGGACCTGAAGGAATGAGCACTAATGGCGAATATCAATAGGGCAAAAATATATGGTGCTCTTCCGGTTTGCGTTTCTACTATCTAGCCTGTTAACAGCTGGGACGAATAAGTTGAATTATCATTAAACAAGATTTCATTGACGATCAAGCAAATGCGGTATACGGTTGAAGAATTGATTCTAGCAAAGAAACCTTGCTAAATTGAAATCCAGTGAGTTTTCTTGATTTCACAAAGGCTAACTGATCCTAAGTGTTGCAGTTCCAAATCTCTTATCGTTGGACAAATAATAGTTGGTTTGACGCCCGGCTTCAGGCCGCTATGAGTTGAATTGCAATTGCTTGAACTTGCACTATATTTGTCAGTATAAAAAGCAGTTTCAGTTTTGAGCATCAGGTTTCAGGCGCATGTAGTTTGATTTGGATCTTGTTGACGGAAGCATTGAAGGAATCCGGACAGAAAACGAATAAGGTTCCGATATCATTGGCAAACAGGTATGGTGTACCAAATTGTGCTACGTTGAAGCTATTTTTAACACATCTCAAGAACATTGACGGACCATGTACACTACCATGTGTTTCACCACCGGGTGACTGTTGCATGCTCTAATTTATGTCTCTGCACTTTAGCCACCTGCGTTTCTATTTGAAAGTTATCGCCTGAACCTAGAAAGTAGGTGTTCGTCAGTCCCGCAGGACATCAATTTAGCTAGTAGTTATCCATGAGTCACACGATGGATGGCCCATTTCAAGTTGAGATAACTTAGGTTTGCAGACACAATAGGATTGTGTGAGGCAGTTACAAGGTTTAGAAATTCCAGATGGTACGAATATGCTTGCAGCTTGATTACGCATGGTAGTTTTGCGCTTTAAAACAATTTTGGCCTCATGGTTTTTTAATCGACTGCCGAAGACCCGCTTTTTATCAGCGATTTGTGTGGTGCGCTAGCGCAGACTCACTGCTGTGGCTAACCTATGATGTTGCATCATGAATGAGAAATCATTTGGTTTGTCGTAGGCTCTGAAGTGCTCCTTGAGCTTAGTAGCTGTTTTTCGTGAAACAGTATTTTCGCGACCAGAGTGAAATTTTCTGTTTAATGGAAGTCATTATGTAGAGATAGAGATTTATTTCATTAGAGAGCTTCAGTTGTGGCTTGCGGGTCGTGGGTGCGGTAGAAAATGTCCCACAAGGCATACATCAGAAAAGTAGCGAATCATTCAAAAGCATCAAGGGATTTATCGTGTACTGTGACCAGCACCGCGTACAAATGAGCCACTTGTTAGAATCTGGAATTTCTATACCCAAAACGGAAGCAGTGTAGCAGCATACTTTCAAGAGCTGGTGAGCAACTTAACTAAACGGGTGATATACGTTACGACTCATATATTGATAATAACCTTGTTACCTCATCCGATGTAGCTACATGAACTTAAGGCAGATCATTGCCGAACTCTGGCAATGCCAACTGTATGCCTACATTCTCTACTTTTCGTAATTTGCGGCATCGTATACTGGTTGTTTCATTCGGGATGCGATACGTAAAAATACGGTAAAGTCACTGTAATTTGAGTCCTCAAGGGACTGCAATAAATTGAACAAGATATATCAATATATCAATATACATTAATTATGTTTATATGGTGAAATTTTATCAACGTCCTCATTACGCAGTAGCCACCGTCATGCAAAAGTTAATTAGGTTGATAAAACGAGAAACTTAACATTACAAAATGCGGAAATAAAAAAATTAAATAAGCTTATGCCAGGTGTAATATTAGCCACGAACTGTGAGTTCGTTGAGGAGTGGGAACCTAATTGGGATGGGCTAGGACACCTAAACTCATACCACAAAAGCCACTGAGGTCGAATTCGGCAAAAATCAACTACTGTATCTAAACAAACCTTTTCATGCTTCCTTAGACCCTGGCCCACCAGTCCACAAACACCAACGGACACCAACCTTATGGTGAGGGACTTCATTTCGCTCGCCCAATCCATCGCTTCGCTTCTGCTTCTCTTCCACTCATAACCTGGTCGCGAAAACAACGCACGCTGCGGCACTCGGTGTACTAGCATGCGCAACACGTGGTTTAGGCATCGGAGACTGTTGCGTGACAAATCGGTTCTGAGCGCTCCACTCACTATTACTGCAACGTATATGCATAGAGTAACACGTTTTTTCCTCAAACAGTGTTCCCCAGACAAAACTCAAACTGTAACAACGATTATTGAAAGTAACTAGCCTCTTTAGGTCCGTCATTCTTGTAAGTCAGGTTTCGTAACTGTACAGGAGGGTGGAAGAGGCGGTTGCGAAATAAGATATACCCTCCAAGGAAAGAGTGGTTTCGCGCCGAGGCCAGCGGCGGTGCAGATTTGCAATAGCACCCCAAGCTTTTACTAAACGGCTTGCGATCTCATCTTCCGTTCAGTCAGCACTAGTATTGCTTCCGATGGTGCTTTATTTCATGGACCACTTCTGGCTGATCCGCAATAAGATTTAGAGCGTAGGTGGACCCCATCAATCTTGGGGAATTATTTTGTATTTCCGGGGTGTAATGTTCAGCCAAAAAGATTTACTGCAGGTACTAATCTGTCCAGCGTTGCTTCGCATGTTTACGAGATGTCAGCAAATATCGAAGCAATATGTCACTCATCAAGTAGCGTCTGCACATATTCTAGGTATCCCGCGAACATTCTTTCCCCGACC